TCCTCTCCCCTCCTCCTTCCTTCCCCTTCTCTCTTTTCTCCTATTTTTTTTTCTTTTTTGGTGTCAATGTAAAAGCTACTTCATTTCAAATGTTAATGAAAAAACTGTAGTTTTCTTTTGAGAGAAACTTAGAGAAAGAGATATATATGTATCTATTTAAATTTGAATCTGAAGTTGTCCATCTTATTTTTCAAATAGGTTGAATTATGACTGAGGACTGGAAATCCGTTATGACCGTGTACTCTAAGTTGTGTGTAACTGTTCTGATCTGAATTTATCAACTCCTAGACTAATATCATTAAAATGCCATGAAATAACTTGGTTGTGGCTCCTAAAGAAGCTGTCTGGGAAGTCAGAAGACAGGAATTTTGATCCTGCTTCATTCTGATGGTGTCGCTATTGAACTTCTGTGCCTGTTTGTCCATTTCAGAAATGAGATTAGTGGTGCTCACCTTTCCACTCTTCATGGAGTTGCAAAATGGTTTCTTTACACAAGGACAATCAATATATACATAAAGTGGCCTGAATATTTAGAAGAAAAGTCCTACAAAAGTGTAGGTAGATGAAAGTAAAGGAAGACCATTTTATGTTGAAAAACAAAAGAGTTTGAAAAGAAGTGGGGTTACCAGTTCTTTGAGTTGACTGGACAGTACTGAGTGTTTTGAGAACTGTTCACTTTCCACCAAAGCCAGCATTTGAAGGAAGACCCTCCGGCAGTCATTGCATTGGTTAGTTTGCTCTTGATTTGGGATGAGAAAGTTCATGGTAAGCAAAGAGGCACTCTAAAGATGAGCTCATGCCAGAATGGGCCTTCAGGATGCTCAGAAATCACTTGTGGGGTATACTATTAGGATGCAAATAATCTTATCTGGCCTATAAATTAAATGCCAGAGTTTCTGTCTGCTGTACTATGTATACTCAAGTAGTACTTCATGTGTTTCTAGAAATGCCTTCTATAAACGAGACAAATATATAGCATGTGTTTCTTTTTTCTTTGCTTCACTTTTAATATCAATTACTAATATAGTGACTTTGAATCAAATGTAAAACAGAAAATCAAACACAATCCCAACACCGATCCCAATTGACATACATGTTTCTGTGTCCTTTCCTCAATACCAAATTTTAATGCATGTATCACTTTTTGAGAAAACTCTGTTTCGGGTTTCCTTGGATAGCTTTACCGTGGTATATTTAAAAATCTACTTCATGAGGTGAAGAGAAAGGCACCTTATCTGTTTCTCTAGCTCTCTGTGCACTTCTACTTTCCAACATGTGTAAACTGCACCTTTGTTTTCACATTCCCGAAGTTGTTAGCAAGTCTAATCTGTAACTGTTATGAGGTCTCCCATGATATGGATTCACGTTGATGCTAAAAATTGAAAAGTACTAACCAGTGTTCATGCTGTATCTACGCAAGTAATGTTCATTACAGAGTCAATCAAGATGCTCTGATAACATTCTTGGCCAATTTCATGACCCCTGTCCCTCTCTATGAAAGGGGTCAAATGCAAAGGGTCAAATGAAGACTCCTTATTTTATCAATTTATTGAAACCATACAACCTTCAGTTTGCTTCAAACCTGGCTTATAACCTTCTTATACGATTTTTAACCCTGAAGTGTTTGATCTTTGTTTTTTCTTGCTCGGAGAAGAAACACAAGCCTTTAAAAAAAAAATCATTTTTTTCCAAGGTTCAGTGTTGTTTTCTCCCGTTAAACTTTCGGGATCTTTGAATCTCGGTGTTCTCAAATTTCATAATGATGTTTGGGTCTTATTAGTTCTGACTGGTACTTGGAGTAATCTGGAAACTACATCTCCTGTTGGCCCTGGGACGTTTTCTTTTATTATTTTGAAGTGTTTTCCTGGTTTTTTGCTGTTCTTTCTTAAAGGAGCTCCTGTCAGTCAGATGTTGGATCCCCTGAGTGATCCTCAGAGTCTCTTGTCTTTCTTTCACATTTTTCATCTTCCTTTCTTTGTCCTTATGTTGTGGAGATTTTGACTCTATCTTCTAACTCTTTCCTTAGTGTTTTTAGCAATCAAATTTTTTAATTTCCGAGAACTCATTCTTCTTTCATTCTTTTTGGCTTTTTGTTTGTTTGTTTTTTGGTGAGGAAGATTGGCCCTGAGCTAACATCTGTTGTTACCAATCTTCCTTTTTTTTTTCGCCTGAGGAAGATTAGCCCTGAGCTAACATGTGTGCCAGTCTTCCTCTATTTTGTACATGGGATGCCTCCACAGCATGGCTGATGAGTGGAGTAGGTCTGTGCCCGGGATCTGAACCCAGGAACCCGGGCCACCAAAGTGGAGCATTGTGGAACTTTAACTACTTGGCCACAGGGCCAGCTCCTGGCCTGTATTTTGAAATACATTAAAACAATGGTAAGGCCTGGCCCCATGGCCGAGGGGTTAAGTTCATGTGCTCTTCTTCCGTGGCCCAGGGTTCACCCATTAGGATCCTGGGCATGGACCAACACACCACTCTTCAAGCTGTGCTATGGCAGCATCCCATATGGAAGAACTAGAATGACTTACAACTAGGGTATACAACTATGTACTGGGGCTTTGGGGAGGGGAAAGAAGAAAAAAAGAGGAAGACTCACAACGGATATTAGCTCAGGGCCAATCTTCCTCACCAAAAAGCATACTTAAAAAAACAAAAGAGGGACAAGCGTTGTGGCCGAGTGGTTAAGTTCATGCACTCCGCTTCAGTAGCCCAGAGTTTCGCTGGTTCGGATCCTGGGCATGACTTGGCACCGCTCTTCAAGCCATGCTGGGGTGGCGTCCCACATAGAACAACCAGAGGCACTCACAAGTAGAATATACAACTGTGTACTGGGGGGCTTTGGGGAGAAGAAGAAAGACAAAAAAAGAAGATTGGCAACAGTTGTTAGCTCAGGTGCCGATCTTTAAAAGACCAAAACAAAGCTAAAGAAATAAAAAAAAATACAAAACAAAAACAATGGTATAAAGCACTAGCATTCTGCCAGGAATTCATCTATTATAAAGGTCTACATTATAAAGTCAGAATTTCCTAAGAGTATTTGAAGAGACATCTAGAATTACCCTCCAGTTTCATAATCTGAACACTTAGGAAAAGAACATCATTTGCTCATTGGCCGTCTGATTTGACTTGTCCCTTTCTAATAATGAGTACTGAACAGCTGCAGTATACAGAGAGACAGAGAATATGCAGTTGCTGCCCTCCAGGAGTTTATGGTCCAGGTGAAAGAAAAGACACAAGCAGAAGCATCATAAGAATGAAAAAAATGACAAATTATGCAGTATGGAGTTTTAAGCCAGATAATTTTTTTTTAATTAACATGAACCCTTTTGTACATACAACTTTTTTCTATATTTTGGATTTTTTGTTTATTGAGATGTGGAAAGTCAAAGTGTTGGATGAAGACTATTGCTTTTGATACATATGTCCATATTCCTTTTAAAAAGGGCCACCCATCAGCTACCACAAGATCAAATTCACCAAAATCTAACCAGCAATGGGTGTTGTAATGTTTTTTAAAGTTGTGAGTAACTTAAGTGTGAAATGTGGCATTTTATTATTTTAGCTTGAATTACTTAATTACTGTTAGGCTACTTTTATCACTCATTGACGTTTATGTATAAATCATAGTATATCTATATGTAAAAGATATTTTTTCCCTTTACTTCCTTCTTCCTCTTCCTCATTTTCTACCTCATCTCCTCATTCCTTCTTCCACTTCTTCAGTCATACTCTTGTAATACTGAGGTAAGAATGTATTCAGTCCAAATTGTGTCTGCATATCTTCTATACATCTTCTACTTAGTATTATGATGACATGAGATTATTTCCTGAAGAAGCAGTTGGATGTATATTACTTACACTATTGATTAGAGACAAAAAAATATTGGTTTTATTAATAATATTAAGGCCACCTGTTCTTACATGGCAAGAAATGTAAATGCGGTTTTTGTTGCATTCGGACTCAAATTGGAGAACCGAAGACATTTGTTTATAGTCTTGAAGTTTTCCTGAACAGTAATTTCCATGACTTGCTGAAAGGCTGTCTTGATGGGGAATGAGAGACCCACGTTTGAGGACTTGCATTTTTAACCTGGCATCAGAGCGAGATTTAATCGAATCAGCTTGTCACGGTGTTACTTCTGTTTTGAAAGCTCTCTACAAAAATATGCAAAGTCTGAAAATTTCATTCAAAGAGAACAATAATTGGGCCTACTTACTATATCTAAGTTCCCATCCTAAGATTGTTTTTTAGTTTTGAAATTTGGCTGTCAGTATATTTGGACTCAAGAAAACTCAAGAAGAAATATTGTACCATTTAGAATTAGTCATCCTGTTTGTCAGCTTCTCATCAATGAAAAGTTTCATTTTGGGGGTGAACTAATTCTGAAAATATAAATGCATATTGCTTGTATTCAAAGGGTTTTTAGGATGAGGAACCAGACTGTAGTTATAGTAGGATTATTACTCTGTTGTTGTTGAATATTGGTAGTTGCATATTATGCTATAATACTTACATTTTTATCATACTTAAATTTCACATTTAGAAGATAAATATACCTTCCTCTGACATGATAGTTATCTTAAGCTTGTTGGTAATTAACATTTAAATACTTTGCTGATGTTCAAAGCCCAAGGTGAAGGTATTGTCTTGGATATAATGCTGTTGGTTCTTTAGCACCATCTGGCAGGAGGCCTGTGGTACAGACAATAAGAATCATGGAGACAATTTTAATTCAGTTTGAGTTTTTAAAGAAAAATAGAATTATTTGTTCAGGTACTATATAAATGTGGGTAAATCTATTTCTATAGTAATCTTTAGATTTCTTTGATTAAAGCAATCAATACAATATAGAACCTCAAAACTTTGTATAAACATGTTTCTGTACTACATGTCACTTTGTCACAGTATTAGGATGATATTGATAACTTGCGCAATTGCTTTTTTTCGTGATTGATGGTAATAAATGACAATGATTTATCATTCCACTTTTCAGGTGGGCTCAAATGATGATAAACAACTAAACCATTCAACAGGAAAGCGAACTTCTCTGTTCTCCCAGAAGCATGTGTCTAAATATTAGCAATGGGGAGTGAAGAAGAGGAAGGAAAATCCTGTAAGGACTGTTCTGGGAGCATTTCTTACGGTCAGAACTGAATGAAGAGCTCATTTTCATGCCTGGTTCTCTATCTGCACTGTCAGCAGCACTAGTTATCTGGATCTTTATCAGGTTACTACTGCTGATGTCTACCTTTTCATTTATCTTGCTTGCCATTCAATTAAAAAAAAAAGACAAAGGACTAAGGCGAGGCTAGGAGTACAGCTGAGAATGGATGTCTCTTCATTAGTATATGAGTCAATCACATGGCCTGTGACGTCTGCGATGGGGCTGAGTCTTTTAATTTTACCAAGCCAGATTCCCAGTTCTTGCTTTTCCAATTTTTTTCTAACATTTTGAAATTATAAAAATGCTGAAAACTCTGAGGCCCATTTCTAGAAATTGGTCACTTTCAAATTGTGTTCTAAATAGTCTTAAGTACAAAGATGCCCCTGATGCCGTGGAGGATTCGAGGTAAGAGAAGGGGAAGGGAACATCTCTGTGGGCTTCTCAGAAAGAGAAGACTTCAACCAGGTCTTCTAAATTGCATATTGGAGTTCTCTAAAATTCCTTTTAGGAAAAATAGCTGCTGAGCAAACTTTGAAAACCATTGGTCTAGGCCACCATATTCTGAGCCACCTTCCTTCTTCTGGTACCCCAGCATGAATAACTGTTTTGCTCCCGTCCTGTACAACACATGTCCAAAAAGCATTTTGATAGTAGTCATAGCTGGAGCTGACTGCTTTCCTCAGACCATTATGCTTCCCCTAAGATTGTAAATGTCTCTGCTACTGAGTAGGTGAATGGTTAGGTTGATAGAGGACTGCATGAGGATAGACGAGGAGGAAAGACAGGTGGGCATACGGTTGTTTCCATTTGTCTATTCCTTAATGTCTGAGCATGTATTTTTTAATTTGATTATATTTTGCGCCATTTAGGGCAAGAATCACATCTTGCCCACATTTCACTATCTCATATGCAGTTACAATATTAATGAACTCTCTACTCACTCTTTTATGCATATATGGGCCAGGCACCATTCTAGATGCTAAAGATACAACAGTAAGAAAACAAAAATACCTGACCTCATGGAGCTTCTTTCTAGTCAGAGGAAAAATAGTGCACATAGAAGTGAAATATACAGTGAGTTGGTTAATGACAAGTGCTATGCAGAAATATAAAGCAGGAAAGGGAAGGAGGCGGCCATATTATATCCAGTGGTTACTAACATATGCACAGGACCTGAAGGAGAGGAGGACGGGAGCTCGTAGATCTGTAGGGTAAGAGTCTTTTAGGTTGGGGGAGGAATAAGGTTTGATGCAAGAGTTTGTTCGGTATAGTCTAGGAGCAGCAAGTTGCTGATTGCTGTGAAGTAGGAGGTCTCTGGCTTTTGTTCTCTTTTACTCTAAGTAAGGTGAAAAGTCACTGGAGAATTCTAAGCAGAGGAAAGACATCTGATTTAAAAGAACCACTCTTATTTTAGTGTTGACCATAGACTTTTGTTTTTTTTTGTTTTAGTGCAAAACCAGCCATGGACGATATATAAACAAATGGCCATGCCTGTGTTCTAATAAAACTTTCTCTAAAAAAAGGGGTGGTGGCTAAATTTGGCTTACATGTCATAGTTTGCCAGTCACTGAAATAGACTATCAGCCAAGCCGTTTTGAATTGTGACTATGAGGGGCTGATGATTGTGTCCGTATCACTTACCACCTATACCCCAGCCAATACCAGCTACTATCAATTGATCATCTTTATGCACATCTGCCATCTGCACGACTCATTTGTTTTCACCTCAAAGTCAAGATATAATTTAATAATTTTATAAATAAAATAAAAGTCTATTAAAAAGACTTGTTGAGCCATCCTGATGGCCTAGCAGTTAAAGTTCAGCATGCTCCACTTCGGCAGCCCGGGTTCGGTTCCTGGGCGCGGAACCACACCGCTCATCTGTCGGTAGCCATGCTGTGGCAGTGGCTCACATAGAAGAACCAGAAGATCTTACAACTCTACAAACCTAGGGGCAGGGAGGGAGAAAAAGGGAAGATTGGCAACAGATGTTAGCTTGAGGAGAATCTTCCCCTTCAAAAAAAATTAAATAAATAAAAACTTATCTACTAAAAGCAAAGTTAGCAGTACATAGGTTCTGTGTATCAAGGTTTCTATACCACTTTGAGGAATGAGATATCCAGGACAAGGACTGTTCTGTAGTATTTCCTTGTGGTAATTGTCCTGAGCCCTGCTTGCTCTGAGACCTTTCTTCCCTACTCTCTCTTCTCATTGATCCAGGCCCGTGCTGTCAAAGAGAAATGTAATGTGCACCTCAAAACCAAACCACATCAAGAAGTTTAAAATTTCTAGTAGCCACGTAAAAAATGTACAGACAAACAAGTGAAGTGAGTATTAATAATGTTTTATTTAAGCCATTATGGCCACAATATTATCATTTTAATGTGTAATCACTATGGAAATTACTGAGATATTTTACATTCTTTATTTCATATGAAGTCTTCAAATTCTGATGTGTATTTTATGATTTGGACTAGTCGCGTGCCGAGCACTCCATTGCCACATGTGGCCTGTGGGTGCCTTGTATTGGGTAGTGCAGGAATGTATGTATTAGAGAAGGTTCAGAACTTGGCCTTCTCAGCTGACACATGTTCTCCTGTAAAAGCACTAACAACACTGATTGCCTAGTAATAATTTTTAAGCTAATCTGTGAAATTAATTTACTTTTTTCTTGAGAGATTATAGATAGGGACCGCTTTAGAAATGCTGGGATCCAGGTCCTTATGGCTGGCCTTAGGTTGGTCAGCAGTGGTTAACAGCAAAGTATGATATTAGGAGGACTTCTAATATTCAGTGTATTTCTCTTTTCCTGAGTCTTTCTCCACTTAAGTTTTTCATATACTTAAATAAATGATTATAAACATAAAAATGGTAAAAGTCAACTCTTGGCCACCTCCAACCCCCCACTCCTACTTCCCAACTCAACAACTTATTCCAAGGTCACTTGGTAAGACTTTAGAACTGCGTGGACTATGCCTTCTCCCCCTTGAGGAGAATCTTCTATGTGTCCTGTCAGTTATTTCAACATGAAATACAGCCATTTGTCACTTAACAATGGGGATACGTCTGAGAAATGCATCATTAGGTGATTTTGTTGTTGTGCAAGCATCATAGAGTATAATTACATGAACCTGGGTGCTATAGCCTACTGCAAACCTAGGCTACATAGTACTAATCTACGGGACCACAGGTGTGTACCATCGTGGACCAAAATGTCGTTATGTGGTACATGACAGTAGAACTCAGAGGTGGAGACTGGTGAAGGCCCAACTTGTAAATATAGCTTAGTAATATTCATTTTGCACAATTTAAATATGTGCACATTTACTTATCTATAACTGGTTCTTCCCCACCCCCCATGGTAAAGTTATCTGGAATTTGCATAAGAATCAAATTGTTTTATGTAAACTGCAGAAACACCTAAATTTTAAAATTATTTTAAATAAACATATGAGAACAAAGAATTTGGGAGTTTAGGGAAACAGCAGAAAGGCTATAAATAAAGACGTACAGAGCTTTTTGACTGAAAATTCTGAGATAGTGAGAAACTTGCAGCACCATGACAGGCTCCTCCTACAGCCTGTGACACCAGGAAAAGTGTCATCCTTCCTCGCTTTGCCAAAGACCACCATTTTGGCTTTATCACCTTGAGGGTTCCCAGCCATTGTGAAGTGCCAGCAGTGGGGGTGGGAGAGGTGGGGGGGTACATGGGAATTCTCAGAGAAAGAATTTGCCGTAGAATCTGATGAAGGAGGTAACAATAAGAGCTAGGAAAATTTGACTTATCAGAGTTTCTGTAACCACATCTTATTTTACAATGGGGTAAGGCCTTGGGTATCTTTGAGGTATGTACAAAGCAGTTAGATTTGGCTCAATTAGTTATTTTTAGGCACAACCAGGCAATTGAAATAGTAACTGTGAGTTATAAAGGGGCCATTCGTTTTCCAAGTCTTTGTGGATTTGTAGATCCAGTCTTAGTCATTAACGTTGATCCTAAGCCAAGTAATTTCAATTTCTTTAAGGGAAGGAGTTTGGCAGATGTTGATAGATGTGGACACCTGCTTTTTGGAATTTCTTAAACTAGAATGTTGAATCCAGTAAAAAGAAAAAAAAATCAGTATTATTTATATTCTTAGAACAGCTCCCACTGACTCTTAGATCTCACCTCTTCCGGCTAGGCATTGTTTTAAAATGCTTTATGTATAACTCATTCTCATAACAACCGTGCAAGGCAGGTATTGCCCTTTTCCCTGCTGTATAGTGGAGGAAACCGATTCCACAAAGATTTCATAACTTGCCCAAGGTCACACAGCTAATAAGGGGTGAGGCTGGGCTTTGAGTGCACACAGCCTGACTCCCCAGTTCCTGCTCTTAATCACCACACTAAGTAAACATCCACGTGCATGATGAATGGATGTCTGAAAAATATTTTACAAATCAACTAACATTAAACGCTGTAAGAGCTTGAAATCTAATGCAGTCCTCCAGTGAAACCTCATCGAAAGGGATTACGCAGGATCATTATTAGCTTAAAACTTTGTAGTTTTTAAGTACAGATTTTGAGACTATGAGGCTCACCTAAAATAGAAGTCATCTATAGAATAAAAATGTCTTTGAGCTGCTCAAGAAATGTGTACTAAATAAATTAATAAAGGACTAGAATATTACATGGCAGTGTACTTGGTCTAACGTAGAGTTCATGGTTAAGCATTGACTCTTCACCTCAATCTTGCTTTTAGCTTTTCAAGCCACTCTGACGCTGCCCGTAGACACGCCCATTTGATAGATGAGAAATTCAGGCAGAGAAAGACCTGCAGAAATCATCCAAAACATTCTTTCCTTGCTCCTGTTCTCACTCTCTGAACATCCTCGCAGTCCCCATGTTGATCCTGCCTTCACCCCCTGGGCTCATTTTTCTCATAGTCTTTCCAGTGTTTGAAACTCAGTTTTCCCTAACTCACTCCTGACTTTGGGCATTCCTCACACCCTCACAATCACTTGCTCTCTGGGTAGGAGCCTTTACTGTGAATCCTGCCCCCAGAAACCCATCCCCCATCTGTCTTCTTGGACTATTTCCTGAACCCAAATGTGCTAGTGTAGTGTCTTGTTCAGAATTCCTTTTTCTTAGAGATCTCTCTGGAGGATTATGTGGGCTAATGGCTCCCCACCCACTTGACATTTTGCCCATTACATTATATGTTTCTTCCAAGGAACAAAAATATAACTCTCTTTCTCTGACAGCATGGGAGACATTCTCTTGCTGTTGCTCTCCAGGAAAATTCTCATAATCTAACTAGGCAAACCCTTGCTGAAAAATTAGACCAAATGGCATTTGTAAACTCCAAGGAAAGCATTTTTCTTCTCTGAAGTCTTCCCTAGCTGGAAGTGTTAGAAACTTGACATAAACTGATAGCAGTTAGGTTTATGGAAAAAATGAGAAGCTGTCAACAGCTGGATGCACTGTCAAAACTGAACCCTGTCAACCTAATTTTTTCCCTAGCCCTCTATGCTGAGAGACGTGCAGCATTCTTAATTCACATTTATGAGATGAATGAGGAAAATGAATGGATAAAGTTTAGTTGCTAAAAGAAAGAGTAGCTGGCTAGCTCTTTTTTTTTTCTTCTTTGGTAAGTTCAAGTAAAGGAAATAATATTAGAAAAATGTATATTGGGATCATGTGCATTTATCCCCTTTCTCACAGTTTTCACACACAACAAAATCAACGCATTGGGGTCAGCCTCGTGGCCGAGTGGTTAAGTTTGAGTGCTCTGCTTCGGCAGCCCAGGGTTTCACAGGTTCGGATCCTGGGCCCGGACATGGCACTGCTCATTAGGCCATGTTGAGGTGGCGTCCCACATGCCACAACTAAAAATAAAAAATATACAACTATATACTGGGGGCATTGGGGGAGAAAAAGCAGAAAAAAAAAATCAATGCACAGTTAGTCTGTATGCCTGATCCCACTGGTGTGTGTGTTTTTTTTTTTGACTCATGATCTAAACCTCTCAGGCAATGAAATGTCCCATCTTAAGAAACAAATACAATCTACCTCTTTTGGTTATTCAGGGAACTATAAAGACTCTAAAGATCTGTGGTGTTTATTTGTTTTCAGTGTCAGATGAAATAAAAATGTTAGACCTTTTTTTTTTGGCAATTCATGCTTCACAAATGTGATTTTCTGTGTAAGTTTTTATATCCTAATTGGCACTTCACTGTTTAATGCGTTGTAAATAGGCTTCTCGTGCCCTTTACATGAGAATGAGCATAGCCAGTGACTTATTTAACATGCTTGCATGCTCTAGGTAAACACAATCACGTAATAAGATGTCGAAAGAAAAATGGGATGGAGTGAATGTGTTCTGATATAGGGTCGATATTAAATGTAACTAACTGCGTTGTCTAATGTGTCTTCTTTCTTTTAAGAATTACATTAGTGGGATGTCTGAAATTGGACTTTAAACCTACTACATTTTAAAGAAATAACCTCTTTCATGTCTTGAAAAAGTAACTATGACCAGTAGTACCCCTTGCTCATTTTATGAGTGCCATATATATTTTATTTTATTTTGAGTGCCATATACTAAAGAGGTTTCTTACATTATATTTATTTGTACAACTTACAATCTACTGTGACTTTCTAGGTAGATTCTTTCTGTGTCCAGGACACAGTGATTATTCAAAGACAGTTGTGGCCCAGATGGTTTGGTGAATTCTATCAAACAATTAAGGAAGAAATAACACCAATCTTATGCCAAATTTTTCAGAAAATAGAGGATATGGAAACATATTTTGTGTAACTATCATAATCCTGATGCCAAAAAGAAAATTTTTTTAAAGTTGGGACCTTAACAAAATATTAAGAAATAACATGTAGCAATGCATAAAAATCACAAATATATCACAACTAAGTTGTATTTATCCCCAGAATGCAAAGTTAAATATTGGAAAATTATGTAATTCACCAAAACCACAGAATAGAGGAGAAAAAAACGTATGATGATTTAAATAAATGCAGAAAAATCATTTGACGAAATGGACATTCATTTGTAATAAAAACTTGAAGCAAAGTAGGAATGGAGGGAACTTTAATCTGATGAGGTGAATCTATGAAAAATCTACAGCTAAATCACACTTAATGGTGAAATGCTGAACATTATCACCCTAAGATTAATAACTAAGCAAGAATATCCACTCTCACCTCTTTTAGTTATTATTGTTCTGGAGGTCCTAGCTAGTGCACTAAGAGAAAGAAAAGAAATATAGATTGAAAAGGGAGCAGTAAAATTGTTTGTAGACGACATGGTTGATGGCACACAATATCCTAAGA